GCCGCCGCTCCGCGCCCGCGAGGACTACGACCAGTTCCTGCGCCAGCGCAGCTTCCAGGAGAGCCTGGGCCCGGGCTCCCGCCGGGACCTGTACGGCCAGTGCCCCCGGACGGTGTCGGACCTGGCCTTGCAGAACGCCTTTGGGGAGCGCTGGGGACCCTACTTCGCCGAGTACGACTGGTGCTCCACCTGCTCCTCCTCCTCCGAGTCTGACAATGAGGGCTACTTCCTGGGGGAGCCCATCCCCCAGCCCGCCCGCCTGCGCTACGTCACGAGCGACGAGCTTCTGCACAAGTACAGCTCCTACGGCCTCCCCAAGTCGTCCTCGCTGGGCGGCCGGGGGCAGCTGCACAGCAGGAAAAGACAGAAGAGCAAGAACTGTATCATCTCTTAACCCGGTCGGGGTCACGGGGTCGGGGAAGATGGGAGCTGAGAATGTAAATTCAGAAACTTGCACTGTTTTTTCTTTGAAAGCGCTTTTGGGGGTGGTTCCTGGGGGAGGAGATGGGCGGGGAGTGCTCTCGGTGGAGGAAGGCGAGGTTCCAGGTTGGCCCGGCTGGTAGCCCCAGTTCTCGGCATGTTGACTATGATTTGCACATTTCACTTTGGAAACGCTCTAGACGGCGTGGCGGCCGGGGTTGGGCACCTCGGTGTGTGCAGTTGCCACTCATCAGATGGCAAATTGCTTCCTTGCTCGCTTGTATCCTCTCTGGTTCTCTTCCTTTTAGGACCCCTTTTCCAGTAAGTAATTTGTTTATTAGCCAGGACCCAAGACTAAGTTATTTACATGTCCATTGTAAATGCAATGTAAATGAGAGTTCTGATAAAATATTTTTGTATTTTGTAATATCAAAGGAATTTCTATATGGTAGGACTCAGCGCAACCCGCATGCCATCCGCATCGTCTTTGTGTAGTATTCCGAGTGGCCAGGACCACCCCCTTTTTCTTTTTTCTATACAAATTTGTTACATGTCAGTGAGACTTTTTTCAAAGGCGTTTATTCAATTTGGCTTTTTGTGGCGAAAAAATAACAATGATTCTATCCGAAGCATTTTACGCTCTAGTCCATCTTAAGGAGCCATCCTTAAGTCCACTCCCTCCCTCAGTAGGATGTATTCTCTACGAAGTGGTAGTCGTTTATTTAATAGCAAACATAACCTTTGCCCATCGGAGAAACCAATCCGTGTCAGTCAAGTTCCGCGAGGAACGCCATCCCTGCCGGGAAGCTTGAAGCTGCTCACGATTGATCTCTTTCTTGGGGAAAACACAGTGACTGTGAGTGGTGCCGTTGTGTGACGTCAGCATGATGTTGTTTTGAATGTGGCATTATTTTCCGGTGCTCATGTTTCCTGGATTGTATTACCCGCTTTCCTTTGCCAAGGCAGATGGAACAGCTGCCTTAACCTGACAACCGGTTGTCCTCGGTGCAAATGAACTTGGGCCTTAGAACTTAGGGGCAGACGGGTTCCGACGGGGCTCTGGGGGAGGCGGTGTGTCCTAGGTTGTACGTCATGCATGGAGAAGGAATGAGGTGATTTGAAAACAGAAAGCGGGGCAAGGGTGGTAGAACTGACGGAGAATAGGAAGGAAGGCCAAGGCGAAGAAGAACTTCTGGAAATGAAGTAGAGGAGCAGTGACGGCCAGCTTGACGAGCCCCTAGTGCTTGAGGAGGTAATTCCGTTTAACACCCTCCCTATCCAGAGTCTCTGGGTCACCCAGGAAGGTTGAGCTGCTCAGGAGGTGTCAGTGTAAAGGCCTTGAAAAGCAGATGTTGTTGAAAGGGGGATCTCCATTGTGAACTTAGGGGACCCTTGGTCAGACTGAAAACGGGCTCAGAAGTGAATTTGCTTCAAGAAGACATTTAACGGTTGTATTGTTTATAGTAAAATAAAACTCCCTACCTTGCTTCAGTTAAAAATGAAGCGCTTGCTTTCCCCCCCCCCATTCTCCTCCTCCCCTTAATGGATTGTGGCGGTTGAACTAACCCGTCGCAGGACCCACTTTAGTGAGACGTTCTGTCCATGTGCTACACGGTATATCTCAGTGGCTCTCTGCCATGGTGAGGTGAGCGTGGTCTCTTTTCAATACAGTAGTTAATATTTTCTAGTATTTTTCATGGAGAGGATGTGAAACGCGGCTTTTCAGACCCCATGCCACATGGGCCTGGGGAGAGGAAGGCTGTACGGGATGTCGAAATGGCGCTCCATTCAGGAGGTATTAAAATAATTTGCTTTTCAGGTATTAATATGACATTTGTCATTGTCACTGATTTTTTTAAAAAGCAATACAAGTGTTGGTTGTGGCTGTTTTCCGCATGCTATCTTCATATCTAAATGCTTCCTTCAGTATCCGAGCCTCGGAGAATTACTCTATTACGTTTGTATAGTAAGTCTGTAAACTGCTTGGCAAACTGATTTTAAGAAATAATGTGCAACATCACATGACTAAAGTGGCAGGTTCCTGGTAGAAATTGGGCAAGTCCAATTGGGATTTCCGAGCTCCTTGATTGATGAGAATAAAGAGGAGTTTGGGGAAAGGGTAAAGGGGAAAAGGAGATGACTTAACCCAGCAGAAAGCTGGACACAAAGTCTGTCCTCTGTGGCCCGGGACCCAGGGAAGGAAATTCTCCTGGTAAACGTTGCCTTCTACCTCCGTCCTTCTCAGAGCACCTCTTGCATCTCCCAGATGAGGCTTTACCCCGTCAGCAGATGAGGCCTAGAAACTGACACATAACTAGTGACCAGAGGAATTGAAGGAATGAGCAATTTGCCATCTAGTTGCCCAGAGAGCCCCCGGCAGCGGAACTGCTCAGAGCTTGATGTGTAATAGATAGAAGCCTCGGGGTCAGACTGTCTGCAGGCGAGGTCCCCTCCATCGGTTCCAGCTGGCAG